TTCTTTCCCTACATCTCCATTAGCTCTATAAGGAGAAAACCAGTTTTCCCACTGCAATATATGCTGAAACCATAAAATCTCTAAGGACGAAAAAGGCTTAAAAGAAATAAAGGCATTTCCGTAAGACTCAAAATCTACCTTTTGGACTTCATTCATGCCTTCTATGCATAATCCTTTCAGTGATGGTAATGTCCCGAGTGTTAGCAGTGACTTAGGTTTTTTGTAATTATAGAGGTTTATGGTAACCAGGTTAGCCCTTGAAGAATCGCCTAACCAAGATGGAAAACTTTTACCACCATAGAATGAAATTTTAAGCCTCTTCAGATTTTTATGAGGCTACAGCATGTCCAAAACATGCATTTTATCTTCATCATTTTGGGAATCAAAAAAATTGCACCTCCATTGCAAATCTAGCCCATTAAGGCTGTTTTTATCCTTCAGAATAGCATTTTTTGCATCTTCAGTGCCCACCAAATTTTCTAACCCCATAATCCAAAGTTCCCCTCGCAGTTGCGACAAGCCCTTCAATCTTCTAACGCCAAATACCTTGTTCTTTCCCACAATGAATTTGGACAGAATCTGAAGCTTTGCTAAATTCCCAATCCATTGTGGCATCTCTTGTAATTTATCAGTATCAGTAAGATCAAGAATATGAAGGTTAATTAGATTAACAATGTCTTGTGGCAACTGAGTAAGTTCCTTGCATCCACGAAGTATCAATGATTGTAAGTTAAGGAGAGAACCCACAGATTCAGGTAATGATTTAATTCTAGCATGAGATAAGTTTAGGTACCGTAAATGCTTCAATTAATCAATTGAATATGGGAGTTCATCAATGCAATAGCCACTCAAACTGAGTATTCTTAAGCATCTTAATCTTGGAAGCAATAGGTGTAAGACATGGCTACTTAAGTAGCAACCAGCTGCCCAAGAAGATGTATAAATTGGTAATGATATAAAAGTTCACAGGTTCTTCATTTTATGAAGATAGAAGGCTTCAAATCTTTTTGAAACATCATATTGCCGACAAATGAATGACAAATGGTGAATCTTTTCAGTACTTTCATAGCATTTCACATCCTCAAATGTATCTGCAGTGTTAAAGCATAGTTCCCCACAAACAGATTGAGCTAGATCATTTATGAGATCATGCATCACAAATCTTGTTTCATTACTACTTGAGTGTTGGAAAAATGATCTTGATAGTAAGTCATGAAAATATTCAAGACCCAGATCCTCCATTTTTTTTGCTCTTTTAGGATGTTGCAAGAAACCTTCTACCATCCATAGTCGAACTAACTCATCCGTGTCAAAATCATAGTCTTTTGGAAATATGGCACAATAAGTAAAGCATCGCTTCAAGTGGGAAAGAAAGTGATGGTAGCTCAGCCTCAGAGCTGGAACAATTCAACTTCTGTCTTCTGGTAAATCCCATATCTTGCTATTTAGTATGTCTTTCCACTCACCAAGATCTAGTTTGTTGCGTAAGAGACCTCCCAAGGCCTTACCGCTAGAGGCAAACCATTGCACCTCCGTACTATTTTCAGCAAATTTTTAGATTAGGATACCCACCAAACCCTTTTGATCCAAAAGCATGCCAGGTGAACAAAGACAAACAATCATCATTTGACAATGCCTGTAAATGGTATAACCCACAAGTAGACATTATGGATGCAACACCTTCACTTCAGGTTGTCACTAGTATCTTGCTTCCAATTGCACCCGCTGTGAAAGGTCTACTGAAAATATCCCATTGCTCGTAATTCTCATTCCAAACGTCATCTAAAACAATCAAGAACTTTTTTCCACATAGTTTCTCCTTTAGCCTCAATTGGAGCAAATTTAAATCCTTCAAATTGTAACTCTCTAAAGTAACAGCCTGCAGCATTGTCTTTGTCACTCTAACAACATCAAATTCCTCAGAAACACAAATCCAAACTCTCAGTGGCAAGTTCATCGATGACATCATTAGCATCCTACGCAACGTCTTTCAAATCGCTGAGCCAATGTTTTACTGCAGGACTCGTCGTTTGCTTTTCTTCCGCATCAGCAAGCAACGCGTCGATTTGGCGTAACAGTTTCTCCAACTTTTTCGGCTGAGTTAACAACTGCTCTTGCCTTACGAACCTCATCAAGTCAAGAGATGACAATTTGTCGAGAAGGTAACAAAACAAAGAACCGAGAATGGAGTCCATGACAGTACCGACCGCACGTTCCATCGCGAAGAAAATACACTGATACAAAGAAAAGAAAATTAGTACTTTTTATTCGTTTTCGCTGTTCTTTGAAACCCCAAAATAGAACATAACGTTTGTAGCTATTCCATGCTTTCCAGAATCTACCATGAGCGCAGATGATAGTTTCGCCATAACCCAACATTTGTTTCAGTGGAAACGAATACAAAATGCAATCAGATGATCAGAAATTACTGAAAACTGATATGTAAATCAGTAGCAGTATAACATGAACTTGCCTGAATCGATCGCATAACTGCCCCTTCAAACGAGAAGTGAAAAAAATCAAACAACACTCTCAATGTAGAATGAAACCAGAAACAGCAACCGGTTCCGTGCGTTTAAGCCCCAACAACCACTGCCCCACATTTCGCGAAATGAGTGTGTTACACGATTACGCGTGTCATCTCGCGCAAGCTTTTCATGGGGTCCCGTTCTTTGCCCTTTTCTGGTCAGATACCTTGACCTTACCTTTAACCACTCATGTAAACATGGGTTACTCGTCGTACGAGGACAACGTTACGTATGTAAAGTCCTAGACATTGCTATACTACCTTTGACAGTCCCTTTGAAACCATCTTATGTTTATCCGTCGCTATCGTGCTGGTGCAATATTCTTGTGTACAGGTCCACACTGGACGAGCATACCCTTTCGTACCGATTGTAATAAGGCAAATTGATGATGTTTGTGTGATATCATAATTTATTATGATATAATATATTAATATATTATAATTAATATTAATAATATGATTATGTAATATTTTTTATTTTTATATTAATTTTATATTAATGTTATATAGATATAAAATAATAAAAAGTATTTTTATTAATGATAATTCATTAATCATTTATAATAAAAATTTATATAATTTAAAATAAAAATATAAAAAATTAATTAAATGTAATAATAGAATAAAACTTATTTGAATATTCTTGAATAGTTTAAGAGCTTATTTGAAAATTCTACCTTAATAATCTCATTTACATTTGATATAGGACATGATATCATAATATTATCTTTATATTATATGTTAATATAAAATAAATCAAAACAAAATTTTAATTTTAATTTTCATAAAAATCAAATAAAGAAAAACTTTTAAAATAGAAAAGAATAGTGTTAATACAATATTTCTTTTTTTAGCTTGTTTTTGTCTAAAAAAATTAAAGAAATAGCAAAATATACTTTTTCTTAAGGGCAATGTTGTGTAAGAAACTAAAAATAATTATTCTTTAAGCATCTTTATGTATTTTCTTTATTTATCCTTTTAATAAAGGTGATTTTTCTTATATTATAATTCTTTTGATGAATTATGTTTAAATACGGATGTCGAGAAAAGATGAAGATCACATTTTGTTCAATAATAAGTGCATATATTTTATATTTAAATAATTTAATTTGAATTTCTTTTAAATATGTCATGATTATCAAAATTTATCAACATAAACAATTTGGGTTTTTGAGATCCAGCCAGTTCAGTGTGATTGGGCTTTAGAAGTCCAATTGCTGAACAAAATGGGCTTGTCGGGGCTCCAAACCCGACTCATTTAACAATTGTTTGATGGCTACGTAATCAGCTTTGGCCTTTTGCTAATGCTGAACAGCATGTAAAGCATCCTTAATCCTTATCTTGGATGTAATAATTGCACCAGGAAGTGGCTGTCAATGGGCCATGGCGGTGCTCGTTTCTCCATGCCCAGCAGGATGAATCGTGCTCGTCGGTGTCCTCCTCGAACTGAAATCTAAAATTTTGAAGTTCCAAGGATAGAAAAAAGAGAAGAAATGTCCTTGATTATTAGCCACACGATGATAATTAGTCATCGGTAATCAATTTCAATGAATGAATCGAAGATCGATTTCAAGATCGATTGATTTGATCTCATTTGTTCAATTTCGGTTTTAATAGAATTTATCGGTTCGAAATTGATAATTGATTCAATAGAATAAATATTGATAATTTATATTGTATATATAATTGTTGGGAAAAAATATAATATTTAAAAATTCTAAAATTATTTTAAAAAGTTTAAATAAATTTTTATTTTTTATTATATTTGATTAAATTTTTATATTTTTATTTTAAATTATTTAAATTTTATATTTTTATTTCGAATCAAATAAATTTTTATAACTAATAATTGATTTTTTCAGAATGTCACTTGTTATTTTATATCATATAATACTGATGTGATTTATTAACATATTATAATAAATGATAATATGATAATTTTAATCCTTCACATTAACATCACAATAATGTCATATAAATTAATTGTAAATTCAAAATTTTATATGAAAAGTGATTAAAAAGTAATCCGATGATCATATCATATGTCTCAACTTTTATATACATAATAATAATTAAAGAGTTGAAGATAATATATAGACTCCAAATAAGGTAAACATAAAATAATAAATGATATTTTAATTAATAATAATTAGTTAATTATTAGTAATTTATTTAATTTAAAATAAAAATATAAAAATTTTATTAAATTTTATAAAAATAATGACTAATTTTTTTTAATAATTTGAGAAATTTTTTGAGAATGTATAATGTCAATAATAAATCTCATGAATCATAAATATAAATTGATTTTCATTATTTTGATATTGAAAATATAATTTATTAATTTAATTTTTAAAATTTTAAATTCTAACCGATCCTCCGCGCTCACACGGACTCACCTCTTGGCATAATTGATAAGGAAATGGCAAAAAGACAAACCAATGACAGCCAGACCTATCGAAAATGGGTGTGATAAATGCTCCAATGATTAATTACTAATAGTATATACATCCCATGAGACAGGGAAGAAAAGTCTAACTCGCCTGCGGCATCGTTGTTTTGTCCAAAGTATGTGTGCTTTGGTCGGAGATGGAGAAACCAGCGTCTCTTCCTTCAAGATTTAAACCATACTACAGATTTTCACCTTTCTCCACTCTCTTTGACCTACGCTGCTTCTTCCTCCTGCCGTCCACTCCGCGCTTTTTGAGTTGCTGTTTTCACGAGGCAAATCTCCACGTCTGCAAGTCTCCCGGTTTGCTCCTTCGATCGCCGGACCAGAAGAGAACGTGCGCCAATAGAAAAAGTCAACGCGCGACTGAAAGAAATGGTAGAGAAGATGCTGCTACGAGTCGTGCTTTTGCTTATGAATTGTCACGCGACGAGCTCGGAACTTTCGTAGTGTACGATGTCGAGTTAGTAGAACTACTTGACGAGCTCGCCGCCGAATCTCCGCAGCGAATATTCAAGGGGAGGCCGGGCGGGTATCAACGAAGATCCAGCAAGGTTGACTCGGTCTTCGTCTTCGTCTTATTCTTCTTTTTTTTAAATAAAAATTTGCTAATATTTATTAGTTATAATACTTAACTAAAATCTTAAATTATTAAAAAAAAGTTTTAAATAATTTTTTATTATATTTAAATAATATTTTATATTTATATTTTAATATTTTATATTTACATGTCAAATCATCATATTATTATATTAAATTAATATATTATATTATTATTAATTATAATATTTTAATTAAATTAATAATTAATAATAAAATTTTATTTAATTTAAAATAAAAATATAAAAATTTAATTAAAATTAATAAAAATACAAAAACTTATTTAAATTTTTTTAAATAATTTAAAATTTTTTTTGAATATTATGTCTACTTAATACTTTTTATTTTTTATATTTTATAAATTTATTTTTAATGATTTTTTATTTTTGTACATTAAAAAACATTTATCATCTTTATTAAAAAATTCACATTTTTACTATGAACTATATCCAAAAAAAAAAGATTTCATATTTTCATAAAAATTCAAAAAAATAAAAAATAAAATACAAAATAATTTTTTATAAATATTTCATACACTAAACGGTTTTAAAATTCTGTAAACAAAATTAAAAGATTACCCACGTAAACTATATATAAAAAAAATAATCAATATATATAAACTCAATGATGTACCCAATTATAATATATAGGAGGTTAATAAATATTTATCATAGGTTAGTTTGTATTTTTTTTTTCTGAAACCCTTTTACATGCTTCTAAGACGGAAGTATCAAATTTTATTACGTAACTACACATTAAAAAAATATTTTTTTAAAAAAACGTATACGACATACATTTATAATAAAGTTAAATATTTTGATTTTAAGATTATTATTATTTTATCGTATGTGATATGTATTTATCAAGTTTATTTTATTCTTTTTATAAGGGTATTTATTCAATCTCTAATCCAAAACCCTAAGCCCCTCGAGCCGCAGATCTGGTCTTCTACTGCAAGTTATATCAAGGATCGGTAATTGTTCTTGCATTTTTCAGGTATTAAATCACAAAAACCCACAATTATTTTTAATATAATTTTAATTTGAATTTATTGTCTTACCGTAATTAATCGTTGCAGAGATCTCGATTGCCGTCACAGATCAATTAATGCTGCAATTGTTCATTAGGGCATTACCTCCAAATTACGATATTCTCCAAGGTACAAAATGTCTTAATTTATCTTAAGTACATGACTTGAGGCGATATTTAAAATAATATATAATTAATGTATTTTAAAATAAAGATAATAAATTAAATAAATATTTAAAAATAATATTTTAATTATCATTAATTGGTATTTATAAAACTTACCCTTTAAAAATAATTACAATCTGAATTAATTTAGCTGTTTTGGTTGCTTGGTTGATTATTCATATCTCATTTATCTCCTCTTTGTTTAAAAGAATAAAGAGTTATAAGAAATTGATAATTTTTTTGTGTTTATAAGAAACTTTGTAATTTCTCTTTTTACTGTCTCATATATATATATAATAACTTTAATATTATATATTGTTATACAATTTTTAAATTTGATGAATTAAGTGACATCAACTCAATTGACAAAATGATAGAGTTATTTGAAAATAAAAATATATCATAAGATCAAATATTAAATTAAAAATATTTATATCTTAATTTTTATATAAATATTAAAAACAAAAATTCTAAATTATATGTTTTTTGTAATTAAACTCTTATGTTTTTATCCCACTCAATTAAGTCTTTCTTGTTCTTGGCATAATACTCAAAAAACTCATAAATTATTTAAAAAAATTTAAATAAACTTTTATTCTTTTATTATGTTCAATCAAGTTTTTATAATTTAATTTTAAAGGTAAATAAACTTTTATGGTTAATGATTGATTAATTGTTATTAATTAAAATATCACTTGTTATTTTATATTCATATTACATTGATATAACATTTAACATAAAAGAGTAAAAAAATCACATAATTATATTATTATGTTAAATTAGTATGTTTTGTTATAATCAATTATGATGTGTCAGTATATCACATCATTATTAATTATAATATGTTAATATACCAAGCGACATAAAATTACAAATGACACTTTAATTAAATAAATCATCACTCATATGAGTTTATTTGACTCAAAATAAAAATATAAAAATTTGATTGAGTATAATAAAATATTAAAGACTTATTTAAATTTTTTTTAGATATTATATTTTTTTCTTTTTTATGAATCCAATCAAGTCTTTTTATTTTTTATTTAACATAATTAAATTCTTATTTCATAATGAAAATATAATAAACATTATTTTTAAGGATAAGAAGAGAGCACTTTTCATGTAGAATAATTAGGGAAACACTTGTTAACCTCTACCTTTAATATATAATTATAGATTATAAATTATTACTTTGATTGCTGAGATTCGATCTTATGCTCAAACATGAAAAATAATAAAAAACTAAAATATATAACGCAACGAAAAAATAAATTAACATTTAATCAAATATATAGTCGAATCTTACAAGAACAATGCTTATGTTTTTCATATAACTTTCAAATAAATTATAAACACTCATAGGTTTAAGAGTTACATACCTTACTCTATATATCGTAATCAAGAGCCAATTAACTCTAAAATAATTACTTTTTTACTTTTAAGATTTGTCAAATCTTCAACCACCCAAGTGTTTGGCCTCTAACAGTAATCCACACAGTGACTGAATAAGACTTTCTCCAAGATAGGATTTTATTTGTGCTAACAAGTTTTGTTTATAAAACTAAAGGATTAAAAATTCTTGATGAATCTTATTTTTGTCAAAAAAAGAAAATTATTTTTCTTTTCATATTTTATAAAATAGTTGAAAAGTGGTTTTTAGGCTTAGAGTTTTTAATTTGTCAATATAATATAGTTATATAGCCAAACTAAGTTGTAACCCTAAATACAACAGTTGTATTTTAATTTAATTAAGTCTCTATGAACTTAATTAATTTTTCATTTTATTTTGATCTCTTTCAATTAAGTTTAACTTAATTAATTATACTTATTTAATTCTAATCATGTCACTTAATATGTGTGACCCATTAGGCTTCTAACATGCTGACAATAAATATAAATCATAATCAAATATCAATTTGATAATTAATTTATATTTATAGATTATAAGCAACATCTAACAATACAATGAGCACCTAAATGTTAGAGAGTCAATTAAATAATTTGACAAAGTCCTTTAGTGATAAGCCTCTCAGTGCAATACGGTCATTTTATCAAATATTTCAGATATGTTATTAAATATGGCTCGGTGTTTACTTATGATATTTCATATTAGTGCTCATAATTCATGACTAATCTTATGAATTTAAGAAATTAACTTTCCTCAAATTCATCATGCTTTGGTCAAAGACTTTATACAAGTTAATCAAGAATTGAGAACAAGTGAGATACATCTCTTCATATCACTTGAGTGATGAATCATTTCTTAACCACTCATTTACCTCTGCATGCTTTATGGCATAGCCAAAAACACTCTGTTTAAGCATTTAGTTGCTTCCAAATGTGTAGGGGTGAAATCAAAGTATGTCATTCTCTATAAAAGATGACCTAGTGTCTCAAGTCTAAAGACTAATTGCACGACTATCACATGAGAACATTTTTCATAGACATTTGAGTGAAATACCAAATAGATTTCTCATAGCGGGTCATATTCAATGAACTTCTTCTTTAACAAATACCTACATGTTATCTTCAAGTATCCCATATACTTCAATCTATAAGATCGATTGTTTACTTCTCAAGTAAGGAAGCTTAGCATGTATTAGTTTTTGAGCATTGTCAATGCTCTGTCTTGGCAATTCAATGACTAAGAACAATTTTAGGAACATGGTTTCGATACATAGTGATATCATAATTATAACAATTTTATAATTCTTTTATAAGGCTTTTATGTTTCATGAGCGTCATCCAATTAATATTTAACAACTCCTTATTATTGTACTAATATGAAGAAAAATTTCTATTACATAAAATTATATAATTAAATATGTATTGAATGACAATATATATTCATTCACCAATTTAATCAGTTCAAAGTCATATAACAACATTGATTACGTGAAATTTAATATGATAAATTGATTTGACATGATAAAGATTGATAGCGTGAAATGTGTATATCATGTCAAACAATATTTATTGTGTTTAGTTATGAAATCTTATTGAGTTTCATGTGTACAAGAAGTCTTGGTCATAGTCATCAATCAAAAATAGTATTTGTAGTAATTTTATTACGAAATGAGATGTTAAAATAGATAAAATAAAAGAACATTAGCTCAATTGACTGTATTAAAAAAATTAATTAAATATAATAAAAATATATAATATATAATTTTATTATTATTATTATTCTCTTTCCATCCACTACCAAAGTCGGTTGTGCATATATTCTAATGATAATAATTAACGCTAATAGAACTTAAAGAGAGAATCCAGAATGTTACAGAAACTTCTGTGTTGTTTATGCAAGAAATTTCTCAGAAAAAAGGAGACAAAAAAACCCACGAAAGAAGAAGAAGCATAGACTGACTTTCTTCAATTCAATTGTTTCAAATAGGACAATACTGGATGGCTGGTGTTTGTGAGGGCTTCCTATCTGCTCTTATTGATGTTTTATTTGACCGGTTAGCCTCCTCTGATCTGCTCTACTTTGCACGCAGAGAGGAGGTGCATAAGCACCTCAAAAAGTGGGAGAAAGTCCTGCTGAACATAAAGGCGGTGCTGGAAGATGCAGAAGAAAAGCAATATCGGGATCGGTCGGTTAAACTCTGGCTAGCTGAGCTTCGAGACTTGGCTTACGATGTGGATGATTTGCTCGACGAGTTTGCTACCGAAGCTTTGTCAAAAAAATTGGATGCTGGCAGTCCAAATCCCAGCATGGTACGCAAACTTGTTTCCTCCCTTAATACTAAATTTAGTCCATCAGCTGTTAGATTTAATGTGAAAATGGGGTCCAAGATCAAGGAGATAACTGCAAGATTTCAAGAAATCATTAGTCAGAAAGAGTGCCTTGAATTGAGGGAGAGAGGGGCTGGGGGGTCTACAAGTGATAGAGTGGTGAGAAGATTGCCAAGTACTAGTTTGGTTAATGAATCTTCTGTTTATGGCAGGGAAAAGGATAAAAATACAATTCTTGAGCTGTTGCTGAAGAATGAAGAGCCAGGTGCTGGTGTGATTTCTATAGTTGGCATGGGAGGGATAGGAAAGACCACACTTGCTCAGCTCGTTTATAACGATGTGTCTGTTGAGGGCTTCTTTGATTTGAAAGCTTGGGTTTGTGTTTCTGAGGAATTTGACGTTGTTAGGGTGACAAAAACAATCTTACAATCGGTGAGTTTTGAGTTTTGCGATTTGAATGATTTGAATTTGCTGCAAGTGAAATTAAGCCAATTGTTGATGCGGAAGAGATTCTTGATAGTTCTAGATGATATTTGGAATGAGAAGTATGAGGACTTGATGATCCTGTTCAGTCCTTTCCAAGGAGGTTATTCCGGGAGTAAAGTCATTGTTACGACCCGTAGTCAAACTGTTGCTTCAATGGTGGGAACCGTTCCTGCTTATCATTTGAATGAAATGTCATTTGCTAGTTGTTTGTCTTTGCTCACACAACATGCTTTGGGTAGAAAAAACTTTGATGATCATCCAAATCTGAAAGTAGTTGGCGAGGAAATAGTGAAAAGGTGTAAGGGCTTGCCATTGGCTGCAAAAACTCTGGGAGGTTTATTGTGCAGAAAAGCAGATTATCATGAATGGGAAAGTATATTGAATAGCAAGCTGTGGGATTTGCCTGAAGAGAAGAGTGGCATTCTTCCAGCCCTTTGGTTGAGCTACCAACATCTCCCGTCCCATTTGAAGCAATGTTTTGCGTTTTGTGCAATATTTCCCAAGGACTATGAATTTGACAAAGATGAGTTAGTCCAGTTATGGATTGGAGAAGGTTTTATCAGTCAAACCAAAGGAATGAAGCAAATTGAAGATTTAGCTGCCGAGTATTTTTGGGATTTATTATCAAGGTCATTTTTTCAACAATCAAGTAGTAATGACTCATTTTATGTGATGCATGATCTCATTAATGATTTGGCTCAATCTGTTGCGGCTGAAGTTTGTGTCCAGTTGGAGGACAAGATGGGGTTTGGGCAGCATAATTTTTTTGAAAGAGTTTGCCACTCTTCCTACATTCGTCATAAGTATGATGTCTGTAAAAGATTTGACTTATTCTATACAATGAGACGCTTACGAACTTTCCTAGCATTACCTCTCTCAGTGTCAGATTTGGGTGCAGATAGCTACTTAAGTACTACGGTTTTACAGGAGTTGCTGCCAAAACTTAAACGCTTAAGAGTACTATCTTTGAGCGGTTACTGCATAAGTGAGCTACCAGATTCTATCGGCTATTTGAAACACTTACGGTATCTTAATTTTTCTCACACGAAAATTAAATGCTTACCTCAATCAGTAAGTGTACTCTATAATTTACAAACATTAAACTTGAGTGGATGTAAAAAACTTATTGAATTGCCTCGTGGAATAGAGAATCTGGTCAACCTTCATTATCTTGATATTGTTGATACAGATGATTTGAAGGTTATGCCTTTGAAAATTGGTAATTTGGTCAATCTCAAGAAATTGCCAAAATTTATCGTGGGGAAAGGCAATGGACCTAGGATAGGAGAGCTCGGAAGCTTGTCTAAACTTCGAGGGCTGCTTTTTATCTTTGAGTTGCAACATGTGACAGATATTCAAGATGCAAGACTTGCCAATTTAAAGGAGAAGCATGGCCTTGATGAGTTAGTTATGAAGTGGAGCAATGATTCTAATGATTCAAGTATTAGAGAAGATCAAATGAGTATTCTTGAGATGCTAGAACCTAATCGAAATTTGAAAAAACTCAAAATTTCAGGTTATAGTGGAGCAGAATTTCCATCGTGGATAGTAGACCCCTCATTTGATAACATGGTCTACCTGAGTCTCTGTGATTGTCAAAATATCAGTTCATTGCCTTCACTTGGGAGCTTACCCTTTCTAAAGGAATTGCACATAGAGGGCTTGAGTGGAGTGAAGCATGTAGGTCCTGAATTTTTTGGGGCTAATTCTTTTTCTGATAAACTTTTCCCATCCTTAAAGATTCTAAGGTTTGGGAATATGTTGGAGTGGGAGGAATGGTCTTCACCTACACAGTTTGAAGTAGCAGAAGGAAAGTTCCCTTGTCTCCATGAGCTCAGCGTTTGGAAATGTCCCAGGTTGGTCAGAGATATACCCAGCCATCTTACATCACTTGTAAAGCTTCATATTTTTGAATGTCCACGGCTTGAAGGTTCACTTGTAAGCCTCCCATCTCTTTGTGAATTGCATTTAGAGCAATGTGATTATTTGTTTCTGACAAGAGTTGTTGACCTTACCTCCCTCACTACTTTGAAGATTGAGAGAATTTCAAATCTTTCTTGTTTGCACAAAAATTTCATCGACTGCTTGGTATTGCTTGAAATTCTTGAAATTGAAGACTGTGTTGAACTTGTATCTTTGTGGCAAAAGGGGGCCAATTTAGAAAAACTTTCTTGTTTGAAGCGTTTAGTAATTGGGAGCTGTCCTCAGCTGGTACAGTTGACAGATGGAGAGCAGGAGCTGCCGTGCAACTTAGAATATATGGAGATATATGATTGTGCTAACCTAGAGAAGCTGCCAAATGACCTACATAAGCTCAGATCATTAAAAGATTTGAGTATCAAGTGGTGCCCAAAATTGTTGTCTTTTCCAAGGACTGGTTTGCCTTCTAAAATTAAAAGCCTTGCTATATGTGGATGTACAAATCTGGGGTCCCTACCCAAGGGGCTGATGCATGATGATAAGTGCAGCATCCATAAAGGTCATCTTGAATGCTTGGAGATTGTCGAATGTCCATCTCTCAGATCTTTTCCAGAAGGTGAGTTATCAGGTGCCCTTAAGAAACTTGAGATTTGGGATTGCATGGAGTTGGAGTCGCTTTCAGAGAGATTGCTACAGAATAGCAGTTTACTTGAGTTCATTGTCATCGGAAACTACAATCTACAAGCCTTCCCTGAATGCCTGTACAGGTTCAAATATCTCACTGGGTTGCATGTAATTGGATGCCCTTGTTTAGTGTGTTTTCCAGAAAGTGGCTTGCCTATTCCTAATTTTAGAAGGTTTTATATATACAATTGTGAGAGACTCCAGTCCCTACCCAACTATTTACATAACCTCACATCTCTCCAGTATCTGACAATATTTGGTTGTCCAGGCTTAACATCCTTTCCAGATGGTGGTTTTCCACCAAACCTGCTGTCACTTACTATTGGGAATTGCAGAAAAATCACATTGTCCTTTCCAAAGTGGGGCCTGTACAAACTTACATCGCTTAAAGACTTAAATGTTGGTGATTGTAATTTAAACGTGACATCTTTTCCAGAAGATTCTACACTTCCTTTGACTCTTGTCCACCTACGAATTCATCATCTGGAACATCTGAAATTCCTATCCAAGGGGCTCCAAAATCTCACTTCTCTTGAAGCACTGGATGTTTGGGATTGCCCTCAGCTTCAATCTTTGCCAAAAGATGGCCTGCCTGTTATGCTCGGGGTACTTGACATCAGAAATTGTCCCCTTCTAGGAAAGCACGATTTCAAAGAGAGAGGTGTATGTTGGCCAATCGTTTCTCACATTCCTTGCGTGAAGATAGATTATGTTGAAATCCACTGAACGAACTTTGGCAGATTAAAGTTTCCATTGGACAATAACACTAAGCAGGTAACTCCTTTTGTGTTGCAGAATCTTATGGCCTTCAACTCGGCACGAAATATTATGGATATGTTGCCTCACAATTTGGGTGAAAGAAATTACACCACCAATTCCTTAAGCAGCCAACTATAACCTTCTTGCTCTTTAGAGGGAGAAACAAAGATTTTGATGAGGCTATTCATGGGAAGATTCAAACAGTAGTTATATTTTAGGTCCATACTTTGATACTAATAAGACAATACTAGAATTTATTAAACCACCTCCCTTCTATTCTAGATTTTGCCTTGCATATTACTGCACCTAACTTGTTTGTTATGTCAGTCACTTTATCAGTTTACCTTCAAATGAACAATATTTAGTACTGCTTCCTTTGTTGACAGTTGAAAGCATGATTTCTATCTTGATTATACATTGCAGGTTGTTCATCTTAGGTCCTTGCTAAAGAAATGGCGACTGCTATACTTGAAAAGATCAGAAGAGTCATCTCCCAGTGTATCTCAATTGCATAGGACACCAACACCAAGCATTTATTGCCTCAACCTCTAATAGCATCAGTGCTGATCCAACACATTCAGACAGACATGAAGTTCAGACAGAAAAGACTTAAAGCTGCCATTCCCAATGATATCTCAACCAATTCAAATTATCAACCGCAATCCAAGAGGGAAGCATTTGACAGATTCAGATAGTCAAAACTTGAAAACAACCTTATGTAATAACTCGGCCCAAATGACATTTGGACTAATGTATCTACATTGTATCAAAATGTGACAAAGAGGTCTTTCAAGTTAATTGAAAATAATTGAGCTCAAACCATATTCTTATTCTAGGATTTATTAGAATATAAATTAGGGTTAATATAAATAGGTCATTTAAGTTTAGCAGCCTTTTTTCATTTGGTTGAGAAAATAAATGCATTAAAGTGAATTTCACAAAAATCTCTTTCTGTGGTACGATCAGGGGATTTCAACAGCAAGTTTGGAGAATAAAAATTAAAGATCATTGCTGGATTCATCATTATGAGGTGAGTAAAACTCTTTTTTAGATCCAAGAAAAATGTTTGATTGATTTTGAAGAATTTGGATTGAAATTGAAAAGAAAAATCTACCTGTAGAATCAAGTATCATGTACTGTCCTGTCACTTTGAGTTTGATTATGAAATGATTTATGGAGTTTCAACAGTTGACTTATATATGGTTGGAAAGTTACATGAGTCTATTTTCTAATGAACTAAAAGGAAGTGGATTTTGAATTTCCTATTTAAAGATATGATTTGTTTTTGTAAAGACAGTGCAAATTGCTTAGCAGTAACATCAGGGGCGATTTTGAAAATTTTTTGCACTTTTCCTATAGTGAACTAAGTGTTGCAGTTTATATGGATAGAAAGCTTATTAAGTCTAGTTTCCAATGCATTAAACAAATCTTGATTTCGAGTTTCATAGCTTAAGATATGAGCATTTTAATGAATGATGTGCAAGCTATTCAAATTTATAATTTGGGAGAGTTTGGGTTATTTTGTATAGTTTTAGGTGATAAATAGATTTTATAGAATTAGATTATTTCTCATATGTTTAAATGATTGTTATTAGACTTTTGATTATTTTAGTAGAAAGCGAGTTTGTTAGGACAAAAAGAAGTTAGTATATCTTCACACACTTTATTTGTTTCGAAACTATCGTATATGAATATTTCTTAAAAGAATCAAACGTTTTATTTCATTATTTTCAGTATATAAACATAGGGTCAAGCATATGATTATTTTTTATATTGAGCTTAATAATATAATAAACAATGATTTATGAATGATTTGGTTTTATCATGTGATGGAAAGTGGATTTACAAATGATTTGAGTTATACATATGACGAACATTATTTTATGAGTGTTTCGGTTGATTTTTATGACGAATGTCAATTTCTAAACAAAACGGAATCTTTGATCATCATTAAAAAATATTTTAAGAGCTACGAAATAATCTCTAAGAAGTGGGATAATCGATATTAAAACTAGTTCTATGGTCTTACTAACGGGATATGATAGTTAGCACATGCATTTGCTAATGGTATATGATAATTAATAACGATTATGAGAATGATTAGTTGATCCGGTTTTTGTCACTGGATATAATAGTGATTGTAGCTAAGATGATGAAGTTTTATGAGTTTCAAAGATTGAAACTATGATTTGCTTGAAAGATATTTTAAGAATGATATTTAATGATTTATGAACTTATGAAATCTCTCACTTTTAATATAATGATTTGTTTAACTATTTAAAAGTATGATTTAGTGAAATGTTTTTGAATGAACTATACGATATATAGAAAACGATGCTTGATTCAGTAGGGTTTTATTTTTTCAATTATAGTTTTGCAAATGACAAGAGATTGAGAGCTTTAGAGTTATGGGAGCTAAGAAAATAATTTGAGAAGTCTACCTTAACGTTAAGGTATTGTTAATTTTATTGAAACTCTTATTATGTGTAATTGATATCTAAGTTTTAGTTGTTTAATTTATTGTATTGGAGATTTTATCGGGACTATAATAATTACATAGACGAAAATGTAAGTATGAAATATTGTTAGTATGATTTCATTTGGGGACTTCTAGTATAGCAAATTATAGCAAGATTTCATATTACTGTGAGACTTAGTCTCGAGATAATATGACCATGTCATGTCTCAATTTCGAGACGTGACACCTTACCCCTTACTTGTGGTTCAAGTTTAGATCATCGGAGCTTATATCCGATTGTCCTTCATTGCATTCAAATTTCGTAAACATATCCTATTACAACCCGTACTCAAATTTTTTGTACTATAAATATACCGGTAATATAGAGCAGGGCAATGTTTCATTCAATTCCAAACCTTGTTCAGCAGCATTTTAGTAGTTACCATGATTCACGAGATAAAAAGAAAAAAGGAAAAAAAAAAAATCAATCCAAGATGATGATGTGCTTTGAAGAGTGTGACAACTTTGTAGACTTGACCGAAGGACCGTAATGGATATCTTTTAAGTAGATATTTTCTGATATTGGATCCCATTATGTAAAATATAAATGTTTTATATTCAGATTTGAGATAAAGTTTTTATGCTGGTTTTAGGTTCGGATAAGGTACATGTATAGATGTTTATATATTTGTTTCTAAGATACAGCATCCGGTTTCAACATACAAATTCTTAGTTATTCTTTAAACTTTTATATCATTTTAATGTATTTTAAGTTTTTCAGAAGAAATGTCTGATTGATTTCCTTCATCATTTGGGCCACATTGGAATCCCAGATATGCCAAGAAAAGAAGTTTTCATTCCAATTTCTTTTCGAGGCTATATATATATATAAAGTAGAAAAGGATCATCACCCACCTTACTCCTACCTTTACTCCCTGGAACAACTCTTTTATCTTTTTCCTTTTAGATTTCTTCTAACCGAAGTCATCAGAAGAAAGAAAAGCAACGAAGAAATACCATCAACGGCAGATGTTGGAATCTGATATTGTAATGAAAGTTAAAAGGTCATAAATGATATTTTCGATTGTTGTATTTGAATTGATGTTGTTCTTGAAAGTTTTCTCATTTTCTAACCAGACAAAGCTATATGGCGCTCATTTTCTAACCAGACAAAGCGATATGGCGCACTGTCTCGTTGGCCATGCAAAGGGTACTTCCTTGTCCCTCCTCCCCTCCTCGCAGATAGTTTAAACTTTACGCAATTTCCTCGTAACTTCTCTCTGATGTGTTTATTTTGCTTCTCTCGGAGGAAAGCAAAATGTACCATTAAATTATGAAAAATCTCGAAAACTGGTGATTGGGACTTGAGGCATGGGGCTTTGGTAAGAGTTGGCGGAGGGTTAGGCCAACTGTCACAGTCCACAAGCTGACGAGGGATTCTTAGGGACACATATACTCCTCATAGGTTGGAGATGGTATAAACATGTTCAATCTTAATCCAATACATAACCGATCTTCTGAAACCATGACATCTTCTTGCCAAGCAGCGTCCATGGTTGCCTTAAGAGCAGTGTCTACCCTTTGTTTCAAATTTGTCTGAGACACTGAAAAGACGCGAAGAGAAATGAATACGTGGACGTTCTCTTCTTTTGAAGTCTCCTGTATGCCTGCACCGAAAGCCAATCGACAAGTAGCCTTCCTCAAAAAGGGTTGTCTAAGCCGACGTGGTCCTTTTGACAGTGCAACGCTAATTGAGTTTAAAAACGCTATGGTTCGTGATGAGGTTTGAAAGTGTAAAAGTAAAAGAATTCTGATATATCCCACAGTTTTGGAGCCATACTTATTGTAAAAAGAAACCAAACTCAGCCTGAATCAAGCAATGGAATCATTCTCTGGCATATACATGCTGTAAATTAATCTTTGGTTCCAACAATGGAGCGAGGCAACGGAGCATCAGTTCTTCTACTCCACCGATGATCGAGGCAAGGTGCCGGCCTGAAGGTCTAATCATAGCTTTTGACTTTTGGGTCTAATATATTAATTGGAAGGAAAGGAAGTAATCGTTGACATTTTTTTTTCCCGTCTCCACAGACGCTGATTACACGAGGTAGATCACCGACGTTGCTTTTTTCTTCCACTTTCGGCGGCCGAACAATATTGAAACAGGCAAGTACATATCTAACCTACACGTAAAACGTGGAGTTTCTGGATTAAAACCAGAGACCTGCTCTAGTATTTTATCGTGAACTTTTTGTCCTGGCTTTTCATCGTCCAATCACTAACTGACGAATACCTGGGGTTTACCGAAAGCCAATTTTTTCCGTTTACCCTTTCAAAACAACCGGCCTGCGGGTCGTACCGGCATGCTTTGTCTGTGTTTATTTATATGTTTATCTTGGAATCCACTGGAGAAGGTATCAAAAGGGTAAGAGGTTTCTGTCCTGATAATAAAAAAAGATTCTTGGTTTTGCTTTAAGCTAAAGCAGGAAACATGCGTCTTTCTTTTCTTTTACTCTTCCTGAAATTGTTGCTAATTGGTAGGTCGTATCTAATCTATCATCCCCTCTTGTTTACAAAAAAGACTCTGTTTCTCTGCGATGGAGTGTGGGATTGCTGTGGTTGGCGAGAACCTGCTCTCTACTCTCCTTGACGTATTGTCCGAGGAGTTGGCGGCCCCTTTGCTGCTGGAGTTTGCTCGCAAAGAACAGGTCCATGCCCATCTCAAGAAATGGGAGACCGTCCTCTTCAAGATTCAGGCAGTGCTCGAAGACGCAGAGGAGAGGCAATTCACTGATCGGGTTGTTAAAATCTGGCTTGATGAGCTCAAGGACTTGGCTTACGACATTGAGGATGTACTTGATGACTTTTCTACTGAAGCTCTTCGACAAAAGTCCAAGGAGCAGAGTCAAAGAATCACCGGCAAGATACGAAAATTGTTTACTTCCTTTTTGAACCATTTTACTTTTAATTATAAAATGGCATCTAAAATAAAGGAAATTACGGGAAGATTGGAAGATGTTGTTAAACAAAAAGATGATCTTGGTTTGACAGAAAGGGTTGGGGGTGGCCGTGATAGAGTGCTGCGAAGGATGCCCAGTACTTCTTTGGTGAATGAATCCCTTGTTTTTGGTAGGGAAAGTGACAGGGAACTTATTATTAATAAACTTATTCTGAAGGAGGAAGAATCAAGTGATGGTGGGATTTCTGTGATTCCCATAGTTGGAATGGGAGGGTTGGGGAAGACTACTCTTGCCCAGCTTGTTTATAATGATGCCAGGGTTGAGACTTTCTTTAAATTGAGAGCTTGGATTTGTGTTTCTGAGGAATTTGATGTTGTTAGGGTGATGAAAACTCTGTTAGAATCCTTGACTTCAAGGGCTTGTAATGTGATTGACTTGAACGAGCTGCAACTAAAAGTAAAGGAGACATTGTCTGAGAAGAGATTTCTGATAGTTCTAGATGATGTTTGGAATGAGAACTATAATGATTGGACGGTTCTTCGCAGTCCTTTAGAAGTAGGTTCTGCAGAAAGTAAAATCATCATTACAACCCGTAGTCAACGAGTTGCATCCATGATGGGAACTGTTTCTGCTTATCATTTGAAAGAAATGTCGCGTGATCATTGTTTGTCTTTGTTTACACAACATGCTTTGGGGAGTAGAAATTTTGATAATTATCCAAATTTGAAAGAAATTGGTGAGGCAATTGTGAAAAGGTGTAAGGGCTTGCCATTGGCTGTTAAAACACTTGCAGGCCTTTTGCGTTGCAAGATAGGTTATCATGAATGGGAAGATATACTGAATAGCAGGATATGGGATTTACCAGAAGATAATAGTGCCATTCTACCAGCCCTGAGGTTGAGCTACCATTATCTTCCTTTTCATTTGAAACCATGTTTTGCTTATTGTTCACTATTCCCTAAGGACTATGAATTTGAGAAGGATGAATTAGTTCAATTATGGATTGCAGAAGGTTTTATCCATCAACCTAAAGGAATGAAGCAGGTGGAAGGCTTAGGTTTTGAGTATTTTCATGAATTATTATCAAGGTCTTTTTTTCAACAATCAAGTGTTAGCAAGTCATGTTATATGATGCATGACCTCATTAATGATTTAGCTCAATATGTTGCTGGTGAAGTTTGTTTCAGGTTGGAGGACAAGATAAGTAGCAATGGGCAATGCTATGTTTCCAAGAGGGCTCGCCACTCCTCATTCATTCGTCAGAAGTATGATGTTCGCAAAAAATTTGAGTCCTTCTACAAAACGAAATGCTTAAGAACTTTCCTAGCATTACCTGTCTTTGTGTCAGATCTGGAAGGAGAATGCTATTTAACTAAGACGCTGTTCCAAGACCTGCTGCCAAAACTTAGATGCTTGAGAGTGCTATCTTTCAGTGGTTATTGCATAAGTGAGCTGCCAGACTCTATTGGTGATCTCAATCACTTACGATACCTGAATCTGTCTCGCACTAGAGTTAGGTGCTTACCTGAGTCACTGTGTGCTCTCTGCAATTTACAGACGTTAAACTTGAGTGGCTGTAGGAAACTTACTAAATTGCCTCAGGGAATAGAGAATCTCATCAGCCTCCATTATCTTGATATTGCTGATACTGATAATCTGAGGGAAATGCCACTGCATATAGGTAATTTGATCAATCTCAAGAAGCTGTCAAAGTTTATTGTGGCAAAAGGCAGTGGGCCTAGTATAAGAGAGTTGAAAGGCTTGTCTCATCTTCAAGGGCAGCTTTCTCTATTTGAGTTGCAAAATGTGGCAGTGATTCGAGATGTAAGGGTTGCCAATCTAAAGGAGAAACGTGGACTTGATGAGTTAGTCATGAAATGGAGTGATGCTCTTAATGGTTTTCAGAGCAAAGTAGATGAAATTGATGTTCTCGACATGCTAGAACCCCATCAAAATCTGAAGAAACTCAGCATATTGTCTTATGCAGGTTCGAAGTTCCCATCTTGGATTAGGATCCCTTCATTTGTTAACATGGTGTGCTTAAATCTCTGTGATTGTTCAAAAATCACATCATTACCGTCACTTGGGAGGTTACCTTCCCTCAAGTACTTGCACATTGAGGGAATGACTAGACTAAGTTTTGTGGGTTCTGAATTTTATGGGGCTATGTCTTATTCTGATGAGCTTTTTCCATCCTTAGAGACTCTAACATTTGGAAAAATGTTGAAGTGGGAGAACTGGTCTCAGCCCCAGGTGTTTGAAGCTGCAAAAAAAAATTTCCCTCATCTTCAGGAGCTTGTGATGTGGACTTGTCCGAAGTTGGTAGAGGCTTTACCCAACTCGCTTACTTCCCTTGTAAAGCTTTCCATTTGTGAATGTCCACAGCTTGCAGCCTCTTTTCTGAGCCTCCCATCTCTTTGTGAATTGAATTTAGAACAATGTAATGAGCAGTTTCTTACAAGGTTCATAAACCTCACTGCTCTCAATAGGTTGAAAATTGAGAACATTTCAAATCTTTCTTACTTACCCAAAGACTTCACATGCTTGGTATCACTTGAAGTTCTTGAAGTTGAAGATTGCGGTCAACTGACATCCCTGTTGCAAGAGGGTGCCAGATTAGAAAACCTTTCTTGTTTGAAGCGTCTAGCAATCATGAAGTGTCCTCAACTGTTGTGGTTGATAGATGATGAAGATGAGCTACCCTCCAGCCTAGAGTATCTGGAAATAGAAGATTGCACCAAACTGGAGAAGCTTCCAAATGGGCTAGAAAAGCTTAGATCATTAAAAGATTTGAGTGTTAAATGGTGCCCCAAACTAAGGTCTTTCCCAAATATGGATTTGCCATCTATGGTTAAAAATCTGGCAATCTTGGGATGTGAATCTTTGGAGTCTTTACCTAAGGGACTGGTGCATTGTGATAACAGCAGAATCACTACATGTCATCTTGAAAACTTGGAGATTCTTGGATGTCCATCCCTCACTTTGTTTCCACCTGGTGAGTTACCAGCTGCCCTTAAGCAACTTGAGATTTGGGATTGCAAACAGTTGGAGTGCATTCCAGAGAGATTGTTGCAGAACAGTAGGTCACTTGAAGTCATTCGTATTGGAAACTGCAAGAAACTGAAAGCCTTTCCTCAGTGTATGTACAGCTTTGAACATCTAACTGAGTTGCATGTAAATCAATGCCCTTCCTTGGAGTCTTTTCCAGAAAGTGGATTGCCAATCCGTACCCTCAGAACAGTCTTAATCTCCAATTGTGTGAATCTCAAGTCCTTACCCAATAAGATGCATGACCTCAAATCTCTGCAATATCTCACAATATTTGGTTGTCCAAGTGTAAAATATTTTCCAGAGGGTGGTTTTCCACCAAACGTGTTATCACTTTCTCTTTGGGGTTGCAAGCAACTCAAGCAACCCTTTGCAGAGTGGTGCCTAAACAAGCTTACATCTCTTAAAGACTTAAATGTTGGTGATTTTGATTTAGATATGACTTCCTTCCCTGAAGACTCTACAATTCCACGAACTCTTGTCCACCTTCGAGTCCAGAGTCTACCTAATCTGAGATTTCTATCCAAGGGGCTCCAGGACCTCGTTTTTCTTGAAGGATTAGATGTTTGGGATTGCCCTAAGCTCCAGTTCTTGCCAAAGGATGGCCTGCCTATCATGCTTGGTGTACTTCACATCAGAAATTGCCCTCTTTTAGAAAATCAATGCTTAGATGAGAAAGGTTCATTTTGGCCAATTATTTCTCACCTTCCTCTTGTGAGGATAGATTGTGTTGACATCTGCTGAACAAACTTAAGCAGATTGGATTCTCAGATGGACGGAAAAAACAGAAATGCCAATACCTCCTACTGTTCAACCAGGTAAAACCCCTTGCTGCTTGAACAACTCCTCTGGTCCTCAACTTAGCACATATTTACTGATAATATTTCAGCTGTAGATTTTGTGTAAAGAAGATCTAAAAACAATTTATATTACCTCCCTAACTATTGGTGCATGTAACTGACAGGAGGCATGCTGCATGACTTTGTTGCCCTTTAGAAGACAAGAGAAAGATGCAAGGTTTACTTAATAAACATGCTCATGAGAAGATTCTCACACTAATTTTCTTAGCTTTTAATTTTGAAATTAGTTAGATGTATCTGTTAATTAGCTCACCTTGGTGTGGCAAGTGTGGATGAGATTGAGTGCAGAATGGGGAGTTGGTTGGGTGGTTCCTACCAGGTTGAGACAGTTCTTTGAAATCTGGAATAACACTGATCTTAGGAAAGGGGAAGGGCAAGTGTGGGCAATGGCGTTTTATGCAATCTCTTGGTCAGTGTGGCTCCAAAGGAATGAAGTAGTTTTTAAAGGAGCTAGCTGGGACAGTAACCAGGTTTGCGAAGTAGCAAATTGAGAGTTGCGGTGTGGGCCAAAGTCAAATGGCCTCATAATTATAGTTCAACAATTGATACGTATCGGAGCCCATCACTTGGGGCAGCAATAACACAACCAAAACAAGGTAGACATGTGGATGGATGGGCTAAACCAGCTCCGGGGGAAATGAAATTTAATGTTGAAGAGCGGCGAAAGGCAGCCCTGGAGAGTCCGGAATAGGGGGTGTGATGAGAGATGAACATGGACACGTTAAAATCATGTTTTCCAAATCCATAGGGGTGGGGGATGCTAACTTAGCTGAAATTATAGCTATAAGGGCGGCGCTTATTCTCTTTATAGCTTCCAAATGGGGACAAATGAAGTAGTTGATTATTGAGAGCGACTCAAGCAATGCAGTCAAATGGGTGAATCAGCCGACTGAAGGTTACGGAAGTGGATCCTTCACATTGACAGGTTGAAGAGAGAAGTGATAAGCTGGCAAGTTAAGCACATGTTTAGAGAGAATAATCAGTTGGCAGATAAGACTGGCCAAAGCGGGGATTGAACGTATGCAGGATTTTATCAATGTGCTGGAATAGAGTGGATGGGAAGGAGTTAGCAAGTTTGGCAAGTTTGTTCGGATACTTTTCCATGATGCTGCAGTGGGTGGTTTCATCAGATGTGGTGTTTTGGCTGTGCTTGGTTTTTGCTTTTAGGTAGGTGGTGCTTTTCATGTCCCTGTGTATTTTATCATGAGGGTGTCTGCAGAGTCTGGTTCATTGGGGCTGTTTTTTTGCTTATGTCAGAAGTGATTCTTTTGTTCTTTTGGGTTGTTATGTGATGAGAGTGGGACGTTGATCTTTTGGTCTGGAATTGTTTGTTTCAGCTGGTTAGTCTCTGTTGATCTCATTGCAACCTGAGCTTGTGTACATTTGCTCTTCTCTGCTTATGGCTTAAGCAGAGTTCCTGCCTTAATGGGCAGCTTTTGTAAAGCCTCTTGTTAATGAAATTATATCTTCAACTTTCAAAAAAAAAATAAATTATCTCACCTTCTCCTCCCTTTCCCCCATTCCAAATCACATTATGCCTCTAGCTTTATCACACCTTAACCTGCTTGTTATGTTATAGTCATTGCTCAGTTTACCATCAAGTGGATAATAATTAGTGTTGTTATCCCTCACAAGCTATAGAAAGTATCGAGAGCATGATCTCTCTGTTTGGTGACAGATTGCAGGTTTGAGCATCTTTGCTCCTAAAGAAATGGCTGACTGCTGTACTCAGAGGATCATATGCTAAGCAGTGTAATTCTTCCAATGTAATGATACTCAGGAGAAAAACATTAATGTTACCTCATAATTCAGATTCTTAGCATGCCCTACATTTCCAGGACTCTTAATTGCAGCTACCTGCTGTTAATATGTAATGGAGAAAGTTTCACAGTTAAGACAGCAAGTTGTATTTTCTCTTGCAATAGAAGTTGTACAATCCTCTTTGTCATTGCCACTCAGGTATGCCCATCCGCCGTTGGCTTCATAATTCTTTTTCAGTATTACTAAGCCTGTTTGCAGTTTTTTTTTTAAACAAAAAAGTGGGAAAGTTCAGGTGTCCGCACTTAACCACTTGAAGCAAAATTTATTTGAAAAGAAAATTTCTATCTGATACTACAAGGTGTATAACTTGCCTTGCCGATGCAGAACTCTTGTGCCTTTTGACTTAGTATTATGATTTATTAATATGTTTTACTGCTGTACAATTTGGAAGAAAGAAGATAAGAAGTAAATTATATCACCAATTCTGTGACCAGTGGTGCATTTAACTCAGACGGGCACACTGTTACACCATTATATCCCTTGAGAAGAAAGGAAAAGATAAAAATATGTGCTCAAGGAGCATGCTAGGAAGAAGATTATTGCAGGTGTATCAATTTCTGTATCTTCCCACAAGCTATTGCAATATCGTCCAAAACCAGTTTGTTATGTGATCTTCATTGTTCGGTGTAACTTCCCAACTGCCTCATTGGCAATTTCAAGCATGATCATCTCCAACTTGGTTACTGTATTGCAGTTCAACCATCTTTGACTGTAACCTGTTCAGCAAACCGCCTCTCTCAATTCTGCAGTAGAGGAAATTCAGTTCTCAATGTGCCCACAAATAAAGTGTACACAAGCTTGAAGGCATACATCGAGTTTCTTTCTTTTCTTTTTTTCTTTTGAGGGAAAAACCTGAGAACAATATAGGGATATCTAGTAAGATAAAAGTTAAGGATTGAATTTAACATTGAACAGAAAATAGCAGCATATTGAGAGCAAAATCCATGTTTAGTTGTGTATAGTAATAAGCAGGCCATTGAGTTTTTGACAGATGAGCATCTGCACCAGAAATATTACACTTTTTTTTATGGAAATTTATTAGACATAAAGGCCAAAATCCTGTGATTTCACCAGCTCGGGCCAAATTCTTGTAAATTTTAGGCTTTCACAGACCATGGATCCCAATACAAGGAAACTAAGTTGCTGCTTGGAATCATCTTTTGTAGAACACTAGTATAGCTAAGTTGCAGTACATATATCCTCTTGATTTTGCATCAGATTAATCAAGCCATCAGCAAGGATTTTATACAAATTCCAATAGAAGTGCAATAAAACCAAAAAGTAGAAAGAAGCCTATGTACATTCAGACCTGATTCGGCATAGCTTTTTCAGTCTATTTCAAGGCAAGGGATGTTGGATATCATGGGCCAGTATTCTCCTGTGTCTTTTTTGCACTTGTCTTGTAAAACAAGACAGCCAGAGATGCACAGTCGTCCAAGCGAAGCTGGCAGGCCTTTCTTTGGTAGGTATCGAAGCTTACGGCAGTCTTTAATGTGTAACTGCTCGAGTGCTGTGAGGCTTTCGAGTCCCCTCGACAGAGATTCCAAATTCTGGAGGCTTTCCATGCGAAGATCGGTCAGGGTTGAAGGAAGCATTACGCCCTCTTCATCTGGAAAGGAAACCATGTCTGCAGCAGGGCATGTACCAGCAATTTTGATTTCCGTAAGACGGTTGAGTTTGTCCAGGCGCCACACTGACATCGGCTTCTTCAGGTTTTTACAGTTACGGAGCTCGAGTGAAGTTATGTTGGGTGGCAAACCACCAAGTGGAATGGATTCGAGGGCCATGCAGTCAGATAAACTCAGTTCCCGAAGGGATGTGACGTTCTGCATCTGCTTTGGCAGGGACCTGAGATTCGAACAGTTGGATATGCGGAGAATTTTAAGATTAGGGATTGACAACCCACTTTCCAGGAAGGATTCCAAAGCAAGACAATCTTCTATACACAAATATTCAAGACGAGATGCGCTATTCCAATTGTCATCAGGAAGAAACTGTAGATTGTTGCAGTTTACTATACTCAACTTCTTGAGTGTCCAGGGCAACCTGCTATTTGGGACGGTTTTCAGAGAAGGGCATCCTACAATCTCCAACTCTTCAAGAAGGCAATAGGGGTTGCTGCAGTCTTTCATCCTAAACGTATCAGGCAATGACTCCAGAGCCTTACAGTCATGGATTGTAAGGCACTCTGGTGTATAGGGCAGCCCCATCGGTGGAAAGCAAACAAATTTTGGGCAGCTTTCAATCCTGAGATCTTTAAGAGATGAGAAGCAGCATAGCCCTTGCTTTTCTCCGAAAAAGGATACAAGCTCGGGACAATTCTTTAGCACTAAACTCTTTAGCCAAGGCACGTTTTCTGATTCTGATCCATTCCACCAGAAACAGGTAAGTTCACTGCAACTTTCAATCTCTAGAACTTCAAGTTTCACCAAGGACTTTGTAAGCTCTTTAGTTAAGCAGGCAAGGCCGGAAATTCTCTCCAATTTCAATTTGGTGATGGAGCTGTGATCAACCATGCTTTTAAGAATTGCGTCACTACAGTCTGCAACATTCAATTCACCCAAGCATGGGAAGCTTAAAGGTGAATTTGTTAACACTGGGCACATTTGAACATCTAGTTTCACCAGAGAACAAAGGTATCTAGGTAAGTTTCCAGTCAACTTAGGACAGTTGTGCAGTATAAGCTCACGAAGAAGAGGGAAAAGTTCAACATTCCCAACAGATGAAACCCATTTCTTCCATTCTTTCATGTTATCGAACCTCAAGAACTCCAAAGATGGAAAAGCCTTAACAAAAGGAAAACCCTCCCCGTAAAATTCGGGGCCCAAACTTGTCACCGCATTCATGCCTTTTATATTCAACTTTTTAAGCAATGGTAGTCGCCCGAGTGATGGCAATGATGTGCAATTTATACAATCAGAGAGGTCTAGATGCTCTATTTTAGCAAAAGAAGGATTCCCAACCCAGGATGGGAACTCTCCAGCTCCATAATTTGAAATAGAAAGCCGCTGCAGATCTTTCGGAGGGCACAGTGACTCAAGGACCTGCAATTGGTTGGGTCCGTTTCTAGAGAGATTTAAATCATCGCTCCATTCCAGGGCTAACTCCTTCAAATCAAGCTTTTGCTTTAGATTGGCAACCCTTGCATCTTGAATATCCACCACGTTCTGCAGCCTTAGAATGGAAAGCTGACCTCGAAGAGACAAATCCTTTAAGTCCCTTAATGTCAGCCCACCATCTTTCCCGATGATAAATTTGGGCAGTACCCGGAGACTCTTCAAATTCCCTAGTCCTGATGGCATCTCTTGTAGCTTGGGAGTATCACTGATGTCAAGATGATGCAATTTAATCAATCTACTGGTTCCAACAGGCAAAGCAGTAAGTTCCCTGCACTGGTTTAGTATTAATATTTGTAAGTGGTGAAGATTACCAACTGACTCAGGGAGCAATCTTAGTGCACTTCTAGACAAATTAAGGTACCGCAGATGCTTCAGATAACCAATCAAATTCGATAGGTCTCCAATGAAATAGCCACTCAAGGATAACACTCTTAAGCGTTTTAGTTTTGGCAGCAATTGGTGTGATATCTTACTACTTAGATGGCAATATTCTCCCTGATGTAATATAGGCAATGCTAGGAATGACCTTACATCCTTTCTTTTGCTAAAGATTTCAAACCTCCGTGAGACATCGTATTGATGACGAATGAATGAGACATGGCGAGCCTTTTCAAAAGAATGTTGGCCATCATCAATCTGCACTTCATGCTCCATGTTAAAACACAAGTCCCCGGCAACAGATTGAGCAAGATCAATAATGAGGTCATGCAATACGAACAGTGATTTGTTATTATTTGACTGTTGAAAAAATGACCTTGATAGCAGATCAGAAAAGTACTCGCGGCCTATGTCTTCCAGTTGCTTATCCCCTTTTTGTTGCACAAAACCCGCTGCTATCCATAAAAGAACCAATTCATCTCTGTCAAATTCGTGGTCCTTTGGAAACAGAGAGCAATAAGCAAAACATGGCTTCAAATGAGAAGGGAGGTGATGGTAACTCAATCTTAATTCAGAAAAAATGCCTCCTTTCTCTTCTGTTAAATCCCACATCTTGCTCTTGGATACAGCTTCCCACTCTTCGTAGGTCACCTTGTTGCGCAGGAGGCCTGCCAAGGTTTTTACTGCCAAAGGCAATCCCTTGCATTTCTTTACTATTTCTTCGCCAATATCTTTCAGATGTGGATGCCCGTCAAAGTTTTCGCTTCCCAAAGCATGGCGGGCTAAAACAGACAAACAATCATCATATGACAACTCTTTTAACTGATAAGCAGGCAAGGTACCTGTCATTTTAGCAACGTTTTGATTGCGAGTCGTGATGATGATTTTGCTTCCCGACTTGCCAACTTCCAAAGGGAGGATAAGGCTACTCCAATCAACGTAGTTATCATGCCAAACATCATCCAAGACAAGTAAAATTTTCTTCACAGATAGCTCCTCTTTCAGCTTGATATGGTGCAAGTTCAGGCCAATGGTGTCAGGAAATCCAGGATGAACAACTTGTAAAATGGCTTTCATGACCTTTATGACGTCGAAATCTTCTGAAACATGGATCCATACTTTTAAGTCAAAAAACCCAGTGACTTTATCATCATTGTAAACCAGCTGAGCAAGGGTCGTCTTGCCAATTCCTCCCATTCCAACAATGGGAATCACTGGCACTTCAGCATGACTTGCTGTCTCAACCAGCAGCCGCTCAACAATGGCTTCCATATCTTTCTCCCTACCGTAAACATTGACTTCATTGACTAAACACGTTGTGGGCAATCTTTGATCCCTTGCTTTGTAGGCCCTTCCCTCAACATTCTCTCTTAATTCGAGGTTGTTCTTTTGTGTTGCAATCTCCTGCAGTCTAGCGGCGATGCGCTTTATCTTTGACCCCATCTTGACACTAAACGTGCCAGCACTCCATTTAAAACAACTTAAACTAGCAAGGTCGTGCCAGCATCTTACCGTTCTAACGCTGGTACGAGGTTGTGCTGTGAACTTGTGTCGCAAAGCTTCGTAGACAAACTCGTCTAACACATCCTCAACGTCGTAAGCCAAGTCTCCTAGCTCCGTCAACCAGATTTTGACTGTCCTATCTGTCACTTGCTTCTCTCCTGCATCAGTGAGAACTGCGTTGATACACAGCAGCTTTTTCTCCAACTTTTTGAGGTCAACATAAAGTTTCTCCTTTCGGGCAAAATATAGCAAGTCAGAAGCGTTAAACCTGTCAAGCAGCGCCTCAAACATGGCAGTGAAAAAAGCTTCTCCGACTGCAGCTAATGCTTCCATCAGGGATCATAAATATTTTGCAGAAACAAATTGAAGGGTTTAAGATTATAGTTAATAGAAATGAAACGAAGAGAGAGAATCCTCGGAAACAGAACAAGACCAGAGGTTAGGATCAAAATCAAGCACTAGGTTTTCTGTGCTAGTTCTTCTCTTTGCATTTACTGAAACCAACTTCTCTTCCTTCCTGAATCCTGGAAACTTTGCCTATCAGGGATTTGGGAGGTCCCACAGGGAAATTGGATGGGGTATTTCCTGATTGACTAAGTTTAAGGCCTTTGTTGATTGAGGTTAACATCAATACATCCCCCCCTGACCCCAAGCTTACTCTAGTCGTATGTACTAAAAGGCAAATAGCCAAAAGCCGACAAAAGCAAAAGCAGAACTTCCCCCATTGGACTAATTTTTTTCCATCTCCTCTTTTCTTCTGGTTTGTGGAAGAAGAGCGCTTATGGACTTGAGCTGGCGCAAATTTTCCATGGCTGTTTCCTGGTAAAAGATTACGTAGAGAAAGGAAATTAATAGAGGAAAAATCAAAGAAGCCACATTCCATCTTCTTATACAAGGCAAATACTATATGTTACAGCAGAGAGAAAAAGCAACTGATACAAGAGAAATTTTGGGTCAATCTGAGTCTGGAAAAAGAAATCCTTTTACTCTGCAGTCTTCTACCTGTTAAACTTTGTTTTCCTGATCACCATGCAAGTTTTATTGGCACACTGTTTTCCTTTATGTTTTTAAACCAATTTGCATTCCTTTCTTTCCTGGAACATTGACTCAAGCTAAGAATTGAAGTCTGTAGAATCAAATTGTTTCAAGATTTGAATGTTTATTAGCAGAGTATTAACTATCTTATGCAAGAAAACATGAAAAGAAAGCAAAAAAGGAGCAAGCCAACCTTGGAGTTTTGTGTGGTTGGTAATCATACTAATCATAAAGATGTTCTGTTTTTCTCTGGCCATTAACAAGAATCCGTAAAGAAATTCCATTGGGAGTTTTGCCTGGTCAAAATTGGAGGCCTAGCCTTAGCAATGGGGACCATGGGGTAAATATCAAATTCAGTCATTTCCAGGAAATGACATAGTTTTTAAAAATGGTAGTGCTCAATGATGCATTAGTTTCTTTTAGAGTAAAAATAAAAAATATCCTCTTGCTGCTATGTTTTGTTTTAAATATATATTTTTTATTAAATTATATGAATTAAATTTGAATATTTGATTAATTGATTGGTGTATGGTCTCCTGCTTAAAAAATAAGATTCGAATTTTCTAATATGAAAAAATAAAAACATGCAATCGAGAAAAAATTAATTTAATCATTACCATAATTAATTTGATTATTACAGTATGTTGCTTGATACGATGAGTGACTGTTTCAAGTCACGGGGTACATGCACAATGCAACTGAGGAACCATTTTTAACAAAACCTGTGAAGCTATACTTATTTTACAAGATCTAGAAATTAATTTTATTAACAAGATAAATAGAATGAATGCATAATCTTTGCTAGAAGCTTGCATTCCTCGTTGTTGGTGAGGCATAAGGGAAGAAGCCTTGTTTCTTCTCTGGTGTGTGTATATATCAGTGGCTGCCTGTTTCAACCAAGAACCCTCCCTCCTTCCCTCTCTCTTTCTCTCTACTCAAAAGAATTCTAGTGTAGGTGTGCCTTTGCAGGCGCTGCTTAATTCCCCAGAGCCGCTTAAGTTTGCTTCCCAACCGGCCGCCTCCAGATATGGGAGGAGAACTTTTGCTCAAGATCTGGGTCAACGCTCTCAAGGACTTTCATTACGATATGGAGGATTTGCTTGATGAGTACTCCATCGAAAGTCCACAGCGTAGATGGAGCACAGAATGTCAAGAAAGCACTGCCGAGGTACGGAAACTTGTTTCTTGCTGTTATATTGAACTCGATCCAAGCCTTGTTATGTTCAAATCAAGGTTTCAGGACTTATTTTTGCTTATTGCTGAGACGGTGGTGGTCTTAAAAGGTTTTTGTTTGTGATTCCTAAAGCTGGTATGGCGAGAGTGGTGAAGAGAACTGTGATAGCTTTGGTTACGCTAATGTGAAATTTAAACCTTTCTTTGAACTGGAAAAGCTTGGATTTTTTTGTTTGAGGGACTTGATGTTGTTAGGGTGATTAGACCAGTTTTACCATGAAAGAGTTTTAGCTAATGATGTGTATGAATTGGATTTGCTTCAAGAGAGAGTAGAAGAAATTGTTAGAAAGAAATCTTTTATAGTCCTAGGTGATATTTGTAATGAGAACTATAAGAATTGAATTTGCTTCCATGGTCATGGTTCCTTCGAAGTTGGGAAGTAAAACCACTGTCATGACCCTAAGATGTGTGTCCATGATTGAAAGTTCTGGGTTACCATTCGAAAGAAATGGGTAACATCAATCTTTGGGGAGAAGAAAATTTGATGATCAGCTGTTTATGAAAGTGATTGACAAAGAAATAATGAAAGGGTGCAAGTGTTGACCAATTGGTTACAATGCCTCTGACACGTTTTGCAGCCAATGGCAAACACCATCTTTCCACCGTATTTTCCTTGACAAAATGCCAACTGCATACTTTCAAATTCGGATGATCATCAAAATTTCTTCTCCCTGAGATAAGATGTCATTAATTTCTTTCGATTATGATGTAGTTATATGGCAGTAATTTTACTTCCTGAACAGCCTAGTACTTCAGAAGAAATACTTTAAAGAACCATTGGATTCTCATAGATAGTTTTCATTCCAAATATCATCTAGAACTATGAAAATTTCTTTTCAATCTCACTTGTAATGAATTCAGCTTATTGGCATCCCTAGGCTTGGAACTCACTCATGGTAACAGTACTGTTTTCATCTCCCTAACAACATCAAATTCTTCAGAAACAAAAATCAAGCTTTCGTTTCAAAGAAATGCTTAACTGTAACATTATTGTTGTATATTTAGCAAGGGTTGTCTTCCCCACTCCTACCATATTATCTTGCTATCGTCGGATACTTGTTGATGACTCGAGGACTACTGGCTTCATCTCTAAACTTCTGGCTTTCAATTCAAGGGTTTTTTGCTCCTGAGATGTATCTCTAAACAATGGGTTCATCTGTACTTGTCTTTGATTCAATAAAGTTCTTTTTTGCTCTTTTTTTTTTTTCCCATCATTGTGAAATGGGGATTTGCATCCTGTGGTTGTTAAGCACGCAGATGCATGCACTTATCATCATATCAAATGCTTAGATGTTATATTTGCTGTTAAATTAAACAAAAAAACAGTAAAAGTAGGGATTGTCATGAAACATTAAAAGGAAACTTGACATGACAACATGTAATTTCTCCGGAACAATGCACCAATCAAAATGATGTTGTGATTGAAATTAGCTGTACAATTTAACAAATAGCCCTTTAAGCTATGCCTAGAGCATTTCTTTAACACAAGTATAAAGGTTTCATATCTCCCAGATGGTTCAAAAAACAGCAGAAAGAATCAAGACTTTTGCACACTTATAAAGAATTATGGAATTAATCCCTCTGATCACAAGTTAGCCAAATTTGGATAAACAAAAGAATAATGCTTTAACTGGCCTGGTATCAGCTAGGTTGCAGCTCAGGCATAAGCACATGTCAACCAGCTGTTACATATCCAGCTTCCGAATGTATTTAAACTTTTGTCGTCCTGTTGTTGTTTCAGGCACATAGCTGTAGAAATTTTTTTCTCTTTCTCCTTGAACTTGTATACATTTGCAGGTAGCTATTGGAGTATACTAACATGTGTCTTGTTTATAGAACAGAAGAAACCCAGATCAAGAAACTGGTTTGCCAAAAGATTTTAAACGAGAAAGATAATTATGACGAAGAACGGATCAAGAAAATGTGTTCAATTCAATGCTTGATATCTTCTTTCACTTGTCCTACTGCCCTTGGCATTTGTAAGCGTTTGTGCCCACTTTCCATTTTCAATGGTTTTAGCTCGGGATTTTGTTTAAAGCAGGCTACAATATGCTGTGTCAAGATCGACACAACTTGTACGTTTTGATTCATTGAATCTCATGATTTCATGATCATACTCTAATATATAGTCGATATGAGAGCTTCGCTCTGAAACCGTGCCATCCTGCAATGTCGGGTTTAAGGCAAATTTTATGTTGGTTCTCCACGCCGCTCACTCACTGCAGCAGGAAAACTATTGAAGCCTGAGCATGATACACAATGAATGTGCAACTAGCTGTAACTGGCGTTTTAGGAATACGAGTATCGACGAAAAAAAGATGACGATTTCTAATTGTCGGGGAAGAGAAGCCAGGGAGGGCGAACCGATCAAGCACTGTCGCTGATCAGTGACGCTGATAGAGGTGTAAACTGCAACTAATGGCCCGTACAAGTAACCCGTACGCTTACTTAAACGCTGCGTTTTGACATTGTCGTTATTATCTCGCAGTTTTTCATTTTTCCCTTTTTCTTTTTCTTCTTTTTAACACAACCTCTCTCTTTTCTCTCTGCCTCCCCGTTTACCGCCTTAGCGAGGGAAAAACATGGGACCCAGCCCCTCGGCCGGTTCCTCGTCGATGAGGAAGAGAAGCGGCGTGAGAGGTGGAACAAGAATGGAGAGGCTGGATCACGAAATCCTGTGTATCATCTTCTCCTTCCTGAACGCCTTCGACCTCGCTCGCTGCACCGCCGTCTGCAAATCCTGGTACTCTCTTTCAAATTTTCCTTTTCCTTTTATTTTCCAGGAATTATTTTTTAATTTCTTCTTTTTTTAAAAAAAAAAAATTAAGGAATGCAGTTGTTAAAAAATCCGAGTTATTGCAAGCGTTGTATTTCAAGCTGCGGCGAGATTCTATGGGAAATATTTCTACTGAGTCTAATTCTTCACGGCAGTCATGGAAATTAGGCCTACAAGAAGCAGCCATGAAGCATCATAGCTTATGTTTACGACGAGGTCGTATCGATATTCATCAGTGGAAAGCTCATTCTGTCGGGTAAAGCTTTGGTGCTCTTCTTGTTGAAATGCAGGGCGTTTTAAACTCCAATTTACTCTTAAATTTTCCATTTTTATTACAAAAGATGCTGGAAACCAAGGCCTCAGATATTTCTAACCTTGTTTTTTTGTTAGGGTTGATCAGTGCCGGATGAGGATGGGCTTACTTCTCACTGGTGTTGGTGACAAGGTATGGTTATGCCGCATAAACCTGTTATGGCAATTTGAGGTCTTCCTTTCAGTTTAATCATGCCTGCTTCCCTGGTTTATGCGTCAAAAGAGAAGGCAGTGGTCACAGCAGTTTCATATGTATGCATGTATAAGCCAATCTTATGCTATTCATTTCAGTCATATTTGAAAACTACCACAAAGGGAAAAAATTGTTCCCCATGCTTGTCATTAGGCAAATACACATTGAGGGTTGTAGTCTGTAGGATATTTATAGTTAGAATATGGTTGTATTAGACGTATAGGAAGCGTATGGTTCTAAATATGGCAAACCCTTTTTTTTTAACTTTCCTTCCTACTTGGTGAATCTGGTTTGAGAGATTTGTTTAAACTCATTCCAGTTCTTTACCATTTTCTTGAGGTCAATAGAAGTCAATTGCAGGTCCAAATTATTCATGAATCGGTATCTGAAGTACAAAGATTTTATCTGGAAGGGTTTTTCTTTGCCTCTTCAATCTACTAATGTTTTTTTATGGAAACTATACCAGGTTATGCGTCTTTGGTCTTTGAGCAGCTACAATTGTGTGGGAGAATATTACATCCCTGATAGTGCCCCTCTAGTTGACTTTGATTTCGATGAGACCAAGGTAACTTCATCCTCCTCTTGTCATTAGCTGGTTAATCTCTGCCCCACTCTCTTATTCTCTTCCTTCTCTCTCCCCTGACCTCTATTTTTTCCCCAACCATGTCTACCAGATTAGTTCACAAGTGGCCTTAAACATAAAATGCTCTTATTAAGAATGTAATCATTGTGTTTATGTGGAAATTTTTCAGATGATTTGATCAAATAAATTCTTCTGAATAATTTCTGTTCTTTTCCTTCCAGATTGTTGGTTTGCTTGGTACTCGTGTAGGCATATGGAGACGAAATGGGAAAAGAAGTATATTTCCCTCACATGAAGGCACATTCTCAAAAGGTTTATGCATGCGGTATGGATGTTGATTGACAGAATTGTCTGGCGAGAATATTCTTGTCTGCAATAGTGGTGAATTTATCTAGAAAAGAAAACAATTTCAAACTGTACTCATAAACCACATTAATTGGTTCAGTATCAAGGAATGTCAATCAGTTATTGGCTTGCTAAATATTATATTCTGGAGTTATCCTAGGTAGTACTACATTCTTCTAATCAAAGAGAAGTGTGAGTTGCTAGTATATATGACATGACATTGTAAAATTTTTTTGGTTAATGGGAAATGCTCTCTTTCTTTAATAAAGGGCTTTCATTTGTTAAATGCAACTAAACAGCTTTCTTCAACAGGTACACTGATCCAGAGGCTGTCATTGGATGTGAGGATGGAACTGTTCGGGCATTTGACATGTATAGTAGGGCGTGTTCTCGAATTATTAAGTATGCACTGTGCGTGCTGAATGTTTTATGTTTCACTCCTCTTCCAATAATGAAATTCTGTAGGACATTGTGGATCATTATTTTACTTGATCTCTGCTATCTTTTTCATATAGTGCAAAGATGTTTCTTGCTCGTCACTCTTGAGTGATACCTTCTGTTAATCAAAGTAGTTAAATACTCCACTGGCTGTTAAGAAATTTTTATTTGAACTTAGGCCTTGGTCTTCATTACTAATTATCTTGGTAATTAAACTCATTTCGCGGAAGTGTCTGAAAAGACCATTATCATGTTGAACACCCTTTCTCTTGCACAAGCTTTTGAGAATAATGCTTGCATGAATCTTTTCTTGGACTTTGAATAGTGCCCCAATTATGGAAATTAAATGTTCAGCTAAGTAAATTAATACATGAAGTGGATTTTGACTTGTAAATGCACTTAAGTAAACACTTGGCTGTTTAGTGGAAAGAAGGTTGATCATATTCTGGTGATTTCTTATACTCATATTGGAAGGACTCTGTGTAATGTTGCTTATTAATATCCTCAATGCAGGATGCATGCTGGGCCTGTAACATGCTTATCTCTGAATGATGACCATTTGATTCTCAGTGGAAGCTCTCTTGGTAGTGTCTCAATATCCAGCCTCTCATCCGATCAGCGAGTAGCTACACTAAGGTCAACCAATTCGGGAGGTTGTATGATTAAACAGTTATGCACATCACTGCGTTAAATGCCACTTTAGTTTCTTTTAGGTATTTTCCATCTGAAACTTGAATCTAATTTCTTCTTATTCTGACAGGCATAAGGACCCTGTGTTTCAACCCTTCCTCTCATTTAGTGTTTGCTGGGACAACAATTGGATATACACATTGTTGGGACCTTAGGTATGTCGGTTGAATCATAAATTCATTTTTTATAAGTTCACGCTAATCAGTTAAAAAAAATGTAGAGCCATTTTTATTTTATGTTCGACTTTTAAGTTAAAAATGATTTCAGTCCTGCCCAAAATTAATAAGTTATCAATTATAAATGAACCCTGCATGCAAGATGAGCAACAAATAACTTTCCATGGAACTCACCCTGAATAAATTGTGCTACAGGATCCCAGCACTGAGTGACTGGTAGTGCTTGAATCATACTGGTACATCATGGTGGTTATAAAAGTTTAGGTTTTGATATCTACTGTCCTTGCGTATTTTTGCCCCAATATGATGCCTACCTTTTTCATTGTGACGTATTTTGCAACCTATCTGCTGATTAACTTGGTTTCTGACTAGAAACGAAACGGGTGACTGGGTATTCTGTGAATGGTGTGTGCGAGAACTTAAGAGTTGATAAGATCCATTGTTTTCTTGATATTCTCCCTTTTTTTTTTCTTTTTTTGAAAGAAGTAACAAAACTGTAGTTCTATAAACGTGAAGAAGAAAGGGTTAGACAGGATCTATCAATCTCATGGCAATTGGCAATTGGCAATTGTAACAGTAGGTTTAGTCACAGAGACTATGCTAAATGATATTGATTGAGTCCCCTTGCTCTTTATTACTGCAGGACCATGAAATCTTTATGGGAGACAAGAATAAGTCCAAATGTTCTGTATTCTATGCAACATTTGCAGAACGATACATCAACTTTAGTTGTTGGTGGAATAGATGGTGTGCTTCGTGTTTTGGATCAGAACACCGGAGTTCTTTCAAGTTGCATCATTGGTGATGAGAGGCCAATGGATTCCTCTAAAAATACAAATGTTTTCATCGAAAAAAAGAAAGGAATAAGGCTCTCCGAAGATGCCCGAATCGACAAGATCCCTAGAACTGCTCGACCACCTATCACATGCTTGGCTGTTGGGATGAAAAAGGTTGTCACTGCACATAATATCAAGTACATTAGGATGTGGAAGTTCAATGTGTAACAAGTTATTTAGATGGTTATTCTCATTGACCATAATTGTATTATAATATTAGTCGTTTGTATTTCTATTTAGATGGTTACTCTGATCTCTATTAGAATGTTCGGTTCGTCTCGACTTGTCAATTTACATTAACATATTATGAACGTGTAGTGTTTTGTATTTAAATCGAGTTTTTAAGGATAAACAAAATATTACATAATTAATTAAACAAATTAAAATTCTAAACAAACCAATTTAAAGTTTACATGGTACCATATAATTATGGTAGGACAAAGTCATGAAAATACCAGAAAACCATCTCCTCGTGCTAAAATACAATATTATTTGGGCCATTTATTTCTCTGTAAGATCGGGCTACGGATTGAAAAACAAAGCCCAAGACCAAGCTCAAGCACTTAACCATCGAAGGCAGTCAACTCGGCTTATCCGACCAAAGTAAGCAAAACCGCTCTCTTCTCAGGATCGCACCCGCAGGAGAACTCTCAAAAACCCTAATTTCCCGAATTAGGAGAAGAGAATCCAGCAGAAGAAACAATGGTGTGCATACGCAAGGCAACCATAGACGACCTGCTGGCGATGCAAGCTTGCAACCTGCTATGCCTTCCCGAGAATTACCAGATGAAGTACTATTTGTACCATATCCTTTCTTGGCCTCAGTTGCTTTACGTGGCGGAGGACTACAACGGCCGCATCGTCGGCTACGTCCTTGCCAAGATGGAAGAAGAAAGCAGCGAGTGCCATGGCCATATCACCTCTCTGGCCGTCCTCCGCACCCACCGCAAGCTTGGCCTAGCCACTAAGCTCATGAACGCCGCCCAAGCCGCCATGGAACAGGTCTTCCTACCTTTTATCTTCATCATTATTTCGTTTTTTTAAAGCTTTTTTTATGCCAATCCATGGATTTCTATTCATTTTGCTGACGTTATTGCTTATTAAATACTTATTTATTCGTAAATTAGAGGGTGTCTGGTTGTTGCTTTTATTACATTTTGGAAGAAAAAGCTCACTGTGGATTCATAAAGAAAGCCAGCAATATTTTTGGAGAAGTAAAAGTTAAAAATTTAATCTTTTTATAGAAATACATGATTTTACTTTTATATGGAATGCTTATGTTAGAATTAGAGATACCTTTTTGTTTTTGGCCAGATAATTAGTGTCACGTTTGTTTAGTAATTATTTGCAAATTCTTGAACTGCAAAAGTAATCAGAAAGGAAGCGAAAAATATTTACATTTCTAGTTATTAATAGACAAAGTGGATGCAGGTGTTTGGAGCAGAGTATGTCTCGTTGCATGTGAGGAAGAGTAATAGGGCAGCTTTTAATCTGTATACTGAGACGTTGGGGTATAAGATTCATGATGTGGAAGCCAAGTATTATGCAGATGGGGAGGATGCATATGACATGCGGAAGCAGTTGAAGGGGAAGCAGAGTCATCATCACGGTCATCATCATCACCACCACCACCATCATCATCATGGTGGTGGATGTTGTTCGGGTGAGGCTAGAAGCACAGAAGTGACTCAAACAAGAGGGGACTCAAAATCAGAGTCAAAAGCTAGCACAAAATCTGATTCAAAAGCAGCATGAGAATGGGAGGTAAACCAAGTATTCGGAGAATTACGTGTGGCATTGGCTTATGTTCTTTAGATTATTATTGGAGGCCCATGATATTTTTAGTTTGTTTATGGAAAGTAATAATCTGACTGAGTATTTCAAAATTATGTTGGCTTCCCTACATATTGTTTAGCATGCTCCTGCTAATGTAACAGTGTATGTACTGTCTGTGTCTTTTACAATGACTTTTTTGTACCAATTTTGGTCAAATGTTTTCCTTTGGTGTTTCAACTTTGTGTTTAAAACTATAGTATGGCTCTTTATGTTTCATTTCTGCATTTATGTTGCTTTGTTGGTATATATATCTCTCTCTGGCTTGTTTCTGCTTCCTCCACTCCCTTTGTAATTGATGTTCAGATCCTTTTTCGACCAGATTCTCTTTAATGTTATCCCTTGTGCAAGATATTAAACGTTTCTCCGTATAAGTCGGTATCCTCATTCCACTGTGATAGTGGTACTGTATGAGGGTGGGCAGTTGTTGTTTGGGGGCATAGTGATATTAAGTATTTGGCTGTTGGTCAATTCTGTTGATGTTATGGTATGGCTGGTTCTTATACCTTCTTGAATATTAAAATTAGAGTTCCTGTTCCGTTGGCCTCTTGTTTTTCATTTTGGAGAAAAGAAGGAAAGGGGTAATGGGGATGGAGGGTAATAGAACCAAAAAGAGAAAAGTGGTTACAATAAGTTGTTGCACGATATAGAAATGGATATAACAAAGGCTAAAGTTCAAATTCTTGGTTCCTAATTTACTCTAGTAGAGAGGAACATTGCAGAAGTAGTTATTGTCATAGATGGAATAATCTATACTTAAAAGTTTGTGTTATGCCAAAGTTGGTGGCTGTCGTTTGAACATTCTTCGGCCTAGGGGGAGAAGTTCGAATTATTTGACAATTGTAAACTACACTGTAGCAGTAAATAGTGCTTTGTGCTTATTAAAAAGTGTGGCTTTTACCGTTTCTTTTGCTGTTACTAAGGTAGATTTTACTGCAACGGTGATTTATGTTGAACATGGTTTCCCTCCTGTCCGACCCGCAGACACCCTTTTCCAGAAAGTAGAGGAGCCCCTTGTCCTATGAATGGGATATGGTAAGCAAACTAGCCTTTTGCACGCAAAGCATCGTTGAAATGCGAGCAATGTCTGCTTAAGGTCTTTTTGGCTCTTTCAAAAGAGTTATGTTGAAAACTTGAAAGTGAAAAGGGGGAAGAACAAAATAGAAAGAGCCAGAACTTGATTGTTAATCTCTCATAGGTCCTAACCCTACAAAATTGACGTGGAATCTACTTGTTTTTCCAGTTTGATAACCTCCAACTTCCTTTTATTTACCCATATGCAATTTCCATGTCGTTTCCTTTTGATTGATACAGCTCATAAGCGTGACTCTTCTCACCACATCCAAGATGGTCCTTTCCTTTCACGTTTGAGGCCGGTCTCTGTACCTAACTCGTATTAAATGATTAAAAAAGATTGGGTGGAGGCCGTACCTCTAACGCACCTCTGCTTTACTTGCTTACGTATAAAATTACATGAGGGAAGTCAGGAATTAGTACAATTCAATTAAACAATGGCGGGTGTCAACTCATAAAGAAATAATGGTACTACCACCTTTCTTTGGTTTTTTTAGGGTGGAATATCCTTAAAGTATTTGCAAATATCCAATATAATACAAAGGAAACATCAGCAAACTGTGGGCAGTCATTGTAGCCTTGTTGATTGGAATCTCGGTGGGCTCTCCACTTTCCTTCCACAATGGAAAAACATCCAATAATGGGTTTAACCTTTCACATTCAAACTCCTCGTCATCATCAGCAGTTGTGGATAAATTTGCCTGGAGGCAAATTGGCCCTGTCTTAAGACCTGGTGGATGACCAGCCCTATGCCTGGCTAAAATTTGGAACCATGGCCCTGGATTTTCCTCCCACTCTGGTTTCTGTTAGAACTGACCACCGACTATCTGGTAAATCGATGGGGTACACGCGGTGTTGGAACGACAATATCCCGACCGGTCTTGATCAGGTTGATACGATCTTTGATTGTTTTGTCGAACAATCGGTTCTCAGGATTTTCCGCATAGCAAACGTAGTAACAGCTCACGCAGGCATGCGGCAATACCATAGCGATCCTCGTCTGCATAATCAAATTTGTTTTTTAGTCATGGAGCTGAGTCATTACGGCTAAAAGAATATATCCAAGTTGGTCAGGAAATCAAGATTGCTTCATTAAAAAATGAGTAATAAAATAAGGAGGGGATGGGATGGGTTACCATGAGGTATCCAACAACGAAAGCCAGGAGGGAGATGGTGGCTGTGAAGGGTTGGTGGACTTTAGCAGTCCAGGCAGCCACGACAATGACACAAATCGAGCCACTGCAAACTCCTGTAAGGAAGCAGATTGCACTGGTCATGTCGGAATCTACTATGGGTACCATTTCTTCCCTTCGGAAAAGCTCCCATGTATCTTGTGATGCTCTAACAAAACCTTTGCCATAGGCAGCTATCTGCAACAACAAAGAAGAAAAGTTAAAAGTTTGGTTTAATTTAGTCCTTGTTCATGGACCACGAAGCAGAATCAGTGTTCAGATGTTGATTGAACCGGAAGTGATTCAAAATCAGGAAGGATTTCCACAATAAAATAAGGGAGTTGTTGAGTTTAGTTCTGAAAAGGAAAAAGATAAGCTAAAAGGGTTAAAAAAACAGTTGCAGAGCATGCGCATTTGACTGGGAATTGTTCTTTATGGTTGAAAATTCCATCTGAACAATCGAGAACCATTGAATAATACCTGTACGTATGCCCAGCCATTTCCATATCTGAAGATTGACTCCATAACATTGAGACAACAATGTGCACAGGAAAACATGAATTCATCTTCTCCCTCAAGCAGATTCAAACCTCTGGCAATAATCCTCAAGGCTTCAATTGATGGCACGAACAAGGATCCAAGACAAGCACTTCCAAGATTCCGGGTCAGGGCTCTTTGGAAGCAAAACTGAGTGTTGGACTGCATTCCTCTCAGATAATAGAGGGCAATCACTCTGCTAACTGTTATGTTAACAACATTCCTCATAACTTCTGTTGTCCAAGCCAAGCTTAAGAACAATGCAATTATAATCAATGGTGGGTAATAGAAGTTCAAAGCTCCAACCACAGCCAAAATCCATAGAGACATCCACAAGAATCCAGACCCAAGCATCCAATAGGCAGGTTGGTTTAGATCAGGGAATTTGGAAACTGGTTCCAGGGATTTAAGCAGAATCTTGAAACAGAAACCGATTCGCTGAGAGACCCAACAAGCATACAAACCATTACCGATTGCAAAGGCGATGAAGCAAACTCCAACACCATCTGTGGCAGGCTTTTGGAAGCAAATCAGAAGGATTCCTGCTGATAAAGACATGAAGAAACTGCTCCATAGGATGAAGTAAACCATGATTTGAGGCCATTCTCGCAGAGCCTTTTGCCAAGCAAACGCAAGAGTGATGCTCAGAAGAGACGCAGCTTCAACCTGTGGGAACAAGAATTTAAGAATTCTTTCTTCCTTTCTTTTTGCAGGGTTTGATGCTTCTATTAACCCTTGAATTCCCTTGAATATAAGAAAGCAGACAAGTGCAACAGCCACAAACATGTGCACCATGAACAAGAACAGAGATATTTTGTTGGTGAATCTTCTTGAATTCAGTGTTGTTATTGATTGCTGGTCACAAGGAGGGAAAAACCAAGAAAATTGAAAGTTAATAACTGGAATTTCGTGCAGAAATTTAAGAAAACTCTTACTGCAGAGGAGGAACAGAACTTTCTTTCTCATCAATTATCAAACTCAACAAAATTTCATAACATAAAGTTGATACTAAAGACTGGTTGGCAGCTGGCATAGGCTTTAGCTTAAAATTTTATTACTGAAATTCTTCTATTTGTAAATCTTTTTCCCTGGAAAATCAGATGAAAAGAATACTTCTAGGCTTCAAATTACGGAACTTCCTTGGAAAAGCGAAGTCTAGAAGGGAAGGAGAAATGAAGCTGGTCAAAGTTCGATTCTTTCCGAGGACTTACTTGTGGGGTTGGTGTAGAACGAGGCTGCGAACGAGAAGGAGCAGGAGGAGGAGGCTGAAAACGAGAAGACTGAGAAGGAGAAGGAGTAGCAACTCTAGTGCCACCATTTATGACAATCCTCAAAGGGTTTGTCGGGTTCAATCTCTGCATCATTGACACATGAAAATGGTCTCTTTGATCCTCAATTCTCTCCAACGCCTTCTCTTCAACAACAGCTCCCGCTTGTCCTTTCTCCAAGTCTATTTTCTCTTCCTCTCCTTCTCTCTCCTCCTCCTCCTCACCCTCCCCTTCTCTTTCTTCTTCTTCTTCTTTCTTCTCATCGTTCTCCCGCTCTTCTCTCCTTTGTTCTTCACTCTCTCCTTCTACCACCTGCAACAAAACCACCGCAGAAATCCTTGGAACTTCAAATTTATCAACAAAAACAAGAAAACAAAAAGAACCCAACCCCCCGCCCCCCTACCAACAGAAGAAAACAAAAAAAGCCAGAATAAAAAAGAAAAACAAAAAATAATTGTCTAAGGGTCAAGATGTTACATGTTCGGTAGCACCCATGGCGGTGGTAATGACCTCAAATTCCAGTGGCGGCGGCAGCAGCGGAGGAGGAGGAGGAGGAAAAGGGTTGTTGTCAAATGTTGTTGGATTCTGTATGATACCAGTATTTTGTATATTGCAATGTTTGTGATGCTAGGTGATGTTAAATGTGATTGGCTCATTTGACTGTTAAAAAACAAAAGGCTTTTCAGAATGTTGCTGCCATTGCTGTTATTACCACATGCTTCAAAAGAAGTGGGACCCGCTTTGTTTGATAACCGCCGACGCCCTATGCTAGCGCGTGCCAAGCACCGGACGTTACTGCCACCATGGGAGATGTAAAGGAGTAAAAAGGAGGACCAAATTAAAAAAAAAAAGTCTTTCTCATGCCAAGAAGAAATGTGGAGGTGGAAAGACGTCATACGGGAGAAAGAACTGACGAGTGACAAGTGCTACCTTGTCACAACATCACTGTAGACATTTGGCATGGAAAAAAACAAGATAAAGTTGAAGATTTGAAGGGTATAACATCCGTAGTTTACAGGTCGTGTAAGGCGCAACAATCTCATACCGTTGGCGGATTAACAAAAGGTTGTCCCAGGATGGTTGTGTCCTCAGATGCTCACTTTTCTCCTACAGACAATGACAAAAGTTACTTTCGATTGAATCCATTAATTCGATTTATGT